GATTCCGTGGGTTTTATCCAGAATATTCCTCTGGGGTTTTCCTCCCACCCCTAAAACTGTAACTTCTTCTGACGGTCTCCCTCTCTACAGGTTTCTTCAGGCTTGTGAGCCACAGTGCCTAGGGTGCTTTTGAGGACTCCTTGGTGTCACTATCACAAGTGATTACTAATTACAACATTAATAACAACAGTATTGTGCATCACTGGAAAGCTCCTAATCTACTCTTTCCAATGATTATTTTAAATATCACAGTTTTGTTTATTTGTAAACTCTAACTGTACGGAAGCAGATCAAAGATTTCCTATCTTAAACAAGCAAGGGCTGAGTGACTTCAAGAACTAGACGAAGGGTTTGTTAGAAATATGGATTAGGGTCTGCTAGATGCACACACAGAGAATATACAACTCATTCATATCACTCGGGCATGAAATGGGAGACATTTATGACACTTGATGGCAGCAAACACACTGATCCCACATGAATGGTCCAGTATTGAGTCATGTTGAGCAGGTGCACATTACCAAAATGAGGTGCAACCAACAGGACCTCTATATTTGCTGCCGCCATCAAGCATGTCAAAAGTCTCCCATTACCAGTCTCTTGGCTTTCGCCTGACTTTGTTTCAACCTTGCTCTTCATCATCCTTGAGGGGTTGCAAAAAAGCTGTTATCGCCTCAAAGCAGTAACATTTTCATTGTTTTGCTCTGTGAAGTTTTAGTAGGAGGTGAAAACATGCATTCATGCACTGATCTGTGAGCTCCTACAGATTTACGGTCATATTCCCAAGGTCTTTTTTCCTTCAAAAATCATGGTCCGAAGCTGTGAATTAGCCATGAAATGAACGAACTCACAGGGGGGAGAGTTGGGGACTGTGCTCTAGGCAAGACTTCTTCAGACCACCGCAAGACCAACACAAGACCTCTGGCTTGAATTCAAGTCACAAGCTATTTAAACAAGCTGCAACATAGGTGCTTGTATGAGAGCCTTTACACACTGTGTTACTTGTCTCGTGACTATGCCTATGGTGGTCTGGACTACAACACTGGTCGGGGGGGGGGTGGGGATGGGGGTAGGGGTTGGAGACGGGGACGGGGAGGGTTGAGTGCTCACCCCTTGACATTACTGCCCCGGGGACAGTTCTTACACTCCACTGCACCACCGTTGATGGTGTTGGTGACTGTCACACTGTAGATCTTGGCACTGCAGAAGAAAAAAAAAAGAAAGGAGAAATGAACATTACTCAGTTCAATAATCCTCTCGCAGAGAAAAATCATTACACTTTCACACTGTGCATACTCAGTAATGAAGTCTATCAAAGCAATGCCTGAGTGAGTGTTGGATTGCCACTACGAAACAAAGCTGTCTGAATTCAATGTGAAAAGTTAAAACTATGATATCAGGATATTGAAAGGCAAAAAAAAGATACCCTAACCCTAAGCCCTCCTGAAAATGGAATTGTACGTAACACAACCAAAGAATGACCTGCATAAACAGTGCAACATGACATTGAGAAAAAGACGCAAACAGCACTGACTACATTTCTTTCTCTTGTGCTCCTTCCAAAAAAAAATCATAAGGTTGCCAACAACCACAGTTTACCACAGTTTTACCGACTTCACCCAAACAATGATGGACCATCAAGTCAACCATTTAGATCCATGGGGATGGTGCCCCTCAACATGTCTCTAATATCGCTGGAGCACTTTTTTTTCCCACCAGCTGAACCTTCAGAAGTTTTTCCGTAACTTTTGGCGGTCATTATGACACCACTTTTGTGAAAATTAAACATAAAATTCTTGCGCAGCGCTCATTTTCCCGAGACCGCTCAGCTTAAAATGTATACTTTCCCACTGCCGTGCTCAACGCACACCAGCTTGCATGCTCATGACCTTGAACTTTGAACGACCATAACAGCGAACCTGTATGTCATATTAAATGGACGTTTACACTGATAATGATATGCACGCTAAGGTTTTTTTTTTAAAAATGGGCATGAAAAGGAAAGTTCTTAGGGGAATCCCCTCCCCCAACCGGTGAAATGGTCCAAAATAACCCAGCCCTTTTAATGTTAAAAAATTTTTATTTCTACATGATGGACCATTTTCTGGTTGGTATGAGATAGAAAGCCAGACTCACACATCGTTGCGGTACTTGTAGGCTGGTTCGTGGGAGTAATCTGAGATGTCAGTCTTCTGGAAGGCCCAGCTAAATGTGACACGTCCTTTCTTCGTGATGGAATACCTGTGATCAAGGTACGAAGGATGATTGCAACAGACATGTCCAAATGCCTTATCTCCTGGGGTGAGATTAGGGGCTGGAGAGACTTCCAAGAAGTCTCCCAACAGAGATGTCGCAATGCCATTTGTGACTGTGCAGATATTTAAGGTAAGAGTTCATACCTACCAACATTGGACACACAGGAAATGGAACACAAATTGTGTATAATGCAATACCAGAACCTTGTGTAATACGGGCGATTCACAATAGTGCGCCACCAAGAGTATGCAACGTGTTGACCAATCATAATGCGCGAAATTTGTCGACCCTTTCCAAACGCACATTATGTCGACAAATTTTGCGCATTGTGATTGGCCAATGCGTTGCAAACTCTTGGTGGCGCACTATTGTGAAACGGCCGTATTCATTGCTGTTATTTGTTTAGCATACCCGTTTGCTCTTGAAAGTTGGATCCTTTGATCGTGGCGTCGGACAGTGAAAACACATAGATCCCAATGACTGGACAATAGTCAAGCAATAACTGTTTTGTGAGTTAAATCTGACTAAAATCTGGTATAATAAGTTATCTGATTGGACATAAACATAATAATTTGAATTCCCAAAACTAAAGACACTGTTGCTACCGGTATGCCTCGCGATTCGAGGCAAGCTTTTGCATAGTGACCACCATCTCTGGAATGGACTGGTTCCTTTGTGTCGTTCCTATCCATTGAGAACAGTGTACTGTTGCAAGGCGTCTCTTATGTAACAAAGCAGAAAGAAGCTTGTCCCAAATCACGAGGTATAGCAACAGTATCTTTAGTATGGAGATTTCAAATTGTTAGGTTCACGTGAATTTAAAGTACTCAGTGTACCAGATTTTATTTAAATTTAACTCACAAAAGGCTCATCGGACAAAAATGTTTATCACATATAAATGCAGTGAATGAAACAGCTGTAGAATGTAAGTATTGATCTCCAAGCCATGGCATGCTTGTTAGGCAAGGATTTCACCCTTGATCCCAAGGAGTACATGTACTGTGGTTCACTACTGTTTAACGTTCTTCTTGGCCATCATGCTCTGGGGATCTGCATGTTTATCAGGATGATGAAACTTCCCAAACAGTGGGAGCTGTGCGGGACATTTTTTCGATTTTGATTTTTTCTTCATAAAATTTCAACTTGGCAATTTTTAGGCCAATTGAAACTCAAATATTGGAATGGTTCCAATTAAATTTGAACAGTTGGCGGGCATGTGACTTTCCAAAATGACTGTGATCATGTGAATCTTGCACTTGATGCTTTATTACATGTGAAACGCAAAAAAGTGGTGAAACTCGAACAATCAAACCTCTCTGAAATCACGACAAACCTGAGAAATCACACTACTGTATAACATGTAGCAAAATCAAGAAGAAAACCCCAAACCCGCCATAAAGGCCTATGAAAACGTACGTTACCGCCGACCATTTTATCCAAAATATTTTGACGAGCAACCGGCAATAAAGATCCCTGGTATGTCTGACCTGTACTCCTGCTTGGACTGCGTCCCAGTCCACTCCTCGATGATCGGCGACCCATCCGCGTCATCCCTGACAAAGAACAGGGCACAGTCACTGGTGCACTCCAAGCTGAACCAGAAGGACAGCACGCCCAGCTCCTCGGCCTTGCCCTCGTAGTAGCCCTCCTCCGTCTGCATGCCCTCCAGGCCCAGGTCCAGCACCAGGTACACGTCGTCCGCATGGCCCTTACCACTGTGGATGTGGTCATCGGCCAGCTGCCAGCCGGCCTCGTCTGAGCAGCCAAAACCTGAAGCAACAAGAACACCGAGCTACTGCAGCGCATTACAGTACAGGGACAGGTTCTTGAGTCTAGCTGTGCCAACCTAACACATCTAGTATGGACCCTTAAACACAAGAGGACCACATAAACCTTGTGTGGATGAAGAAAGGAGCATGAGATAACCTACCTGACAGGCTGAGGCACGTGGCGTCCATGTTGGGTGGCATCATGTGCCATCGGATGTAATTCATTCCGTACACTGGAGCCGTGTTTGATGGGCATGGCTTGCAAGCTGTATGAAAAAACATAACAAACCTTGAACTCTTCCTGACTTCTGACGTCTGATCTGACATCTGACATTCAGCTAGGGCTAAACCTACGTTTAGTTCTGTTGGATGTATTAAACTGTCAAAACTGCTTGAGTTTAATATAAACATTCTTTCAGCATTTACTACTTTCCAGAAATCCACTGCTCTCTGTCAATCATCAATAGGCCTGGTCTCATTAATAGGCCTGTGTATTAATGACAGAGACAACGGATTTGAAGCTCTTTAAGAAAGTGTACATGCCAACAAACCAAAGTCACACAGACAATAAGGACCCATCTACCTGAAAACATTATGAAATATCAACAAAGGGGCAAGTCACGTGAGATGACTTTTACGAGCAACTCAGTGACAAGTGAACGTACATCAAGCCAAACAGAAATGTATGGAATAAACAAGTAGAATTTTCAAGCAGTTCAGTGAAATGGATAACATGTTTTAAACAAAGTTAGAGCTGGCTGTCAGTCTCAGTTTTGAAGCTGCCTGGAACTCAGTTGGAAGATAAGCTGCCCTCAATATCACAGTCCTTTTTTTTTTTTAAACTCACGAGAGGTGCCATCGGAAAACATGTTCTGGGGACAGAAGGTGCAGACGGTTTGGTTGAAGACCGACATGCCAGGGTTGCACGGTGGACACTGTTCTAACTTGCTGGATGGTGGCAGCTGCTTGGCGCCAGTTACGTCACTGCGACACATGCGGGGCTCGATCCACTTGTACAGGATTTGGGTCTGGAACCGTCAGATGCACAAATATTAATAATAATAATTTATTAATTTATAAAGTGCAACTTTCACACAGATTATGTTCAACTGCACTGTACAATGAAGACATCAAACGTGGTTGCGGCGATGACATACATAAGGGTGCCTCAGGCAGCTGCCAAATGACCCACGTCCACCCACATCTGTACAAATGGAGACGATAAGAAGCAGTTACAGTTGTAGAGGTGGGGGGAAAACCCCAGAGAAGGCAGTCAATTAGGAGAGGCATTTTTATAAAACCTCAGCCACAAAACTCCATATCTTGATCAGCGGAGAGCCGGTCCCATGGCATTTGGTTATTTCCTGATCTATCTGTGAACAGCCTAAAGTGCTATACCTGTAGCAGACTGTGTCAAATACAGGGAAGAGGATAAGGCGGGGGGGGGAGGCAAAAGATACATGTACCTACCTGATTATTGGCATCGCATGGGGTATGGGTTTTGTAGTAATCCAAGTCAGTGCAGGGTTTCTTAGCGATGCACTCACGAGCACCGGGTTCTGAATTCAAACAAAATGAAGAGTTTAGATATATTCATTTCATACCCTCATGCCAGCATGGTTGAATATTCTCCCTAAAGTCCACCAATTGCATCAAATACCAGCTAATACTGCCTCAGAGCAGTAAGAAGGCCAGGAGATACTAAAATGCAGCTCAGGATGTTAAACAAGTATTTAACTTTGACCTTGTGCTAGTTCAAATGTCCAATTAACCCTCCTATGCTAAAGTCACTCTTTGGGTCACTTGGTAAACACCTCAAAGAAGCACAGCTGTGTCGTGTTGTGCACTGCACCAACAGTCCCTCACAGGAATATCAGACTGCACTTTTGTGCTGCCCAACAACTGTGCTTCACTGTTTCATGTGCATAATTGTGCAGTAAACCAAATGCAGTGAAGAGGACTGCTCAAAAGACCCTGGGTCATTTTGTGCTGGCAACCAACTGTGTACACGCTGAACCTGTGCATGTTTGCGTTCCACATAGAAAACACATGCAAGAGAGTGACTGTGTTAACCTGAATACATTTTACTCTGGATCACACAGTTATTCTGGTTTTTCAGGGAGTCAAAGTTTTGTGAATTTACTGAGCACACTATTCCTTCCCTCAGGTGTTCTGAATAAGATGAAGATAGGAACCAGACAGTCGGTCCAGCCTTTCTTGTATTACCCAGTGAGGGGGTCCTTGTGGATGGGATCCTTATCCCGTTAACTGCCAGGGACGCATATCAAAGAGACACACAAGGCCGTTTTCCAATACTCAACTTCGGCTCTGTCTCAGGCTTCAACTGTTTTTTTACTAGCTGACTTTGAAGCTGTAAGTGCACTAATTAGCCTAATAGTGCCACAAAACATCAAATAAGATGCAAGAGAGCAAAAACTTACAGTAGTCCAATTTGATTTAAACGCCTCAGGCCCACGATCGGAGATTGGTTTTGGACGGAGACGAAGTTGAGTATTGGAAAACGGCCCAGTAAGTAGCTGAATCAAATGACAGTGTTACAGTTGAGTCAAGTTCCTGCAAGTCCATCAAAAGTCATCCATCCAGCCTCAAGCCAAGAAACGGTTACCCAGGAGCGGCAGCGAGACATGACTTACTTGAATAATGGGTGGTGACATCACAGTCCGTGCACTTAGATGCTCCGGCGGAGGCTGAGAATGTATTGGCTGGGCACAATTCGTACCTGTGGAAATGAGCACAACACAAACATGGAACCATTCACCAACATGTAATACCCTTTACAGTTTCTCGGTAATTGGAGAAGAGCTCTCTGCCACCCAACTGGCTACCGGACTTTTGAATGCCGTATTCGTCGCTGTTGGTTTCAACGGTACGCTTGATCACAGGCCAATAACGCATGGCCTACTCATGAGCATAGATGTGAGTAGATCATGCGTCCACTTGAGAGGACATTGTAACACAATTTATGCCATCTGTATGGAGAGATACCGGGTACGACTAAAGACAGTTCACACTTTGGGCAAATGTGAAAGTGAAGCAAATTTGATGTCACAAGAGATTTTCAGCCAAATTTCACATGAGTTGAAATGTGTTCGATGTTTGCAAATTCGCAGAGAAAATATTTGATCTGACATCACAAGTCAGCATTTGTGATCAATCTCAAGCTAAGTATGAACCAGGGTGAGTGCAAGGTAGCAACAGCGCTCTGCTTAACCATGCAGGAGTTTACACTTGAACAAGGAGTCCTTCTGTCTGTTTGCTTATGACGGACTTAGCGAAATAACACCAAGAACCTCACTTACCCCGAAGCACCGGGGTCCTTGACGTAGGTGCCTGGCTTGGCCAAGGTGCACTCTGAGGTGAAGCTCAGCCCCATGATCTTAATTGTCTTGATAAGGACCGGGTTGGACTTTGTGTTGTGCTCGTTGGTGAAGCCGATGCCCACAGTCTTCCAGGTGATCACGTTCATTCCAGCATCCAGTGGTATCTGAAAAACAAGGAGAGATTTTACTTCACCCTGAAGTCCCCCCCCCACATTATTTTCTGTACAGATAAGGAGTGCCTTTACAGGCACGCCAAGTTAAAAAAATTCCAGCATGGGACAGCCAGGTTGGGATGAGGGTCAGCGCATCACTGGTCTGGATTTGACAGATCAGTCTATCGTCCCCAACTCCCACAACAAACCCTGCAGAAGGGCAAAACAAACACCTCATCTTGACAACCCTGCTCATAAATCCCAGCCTGCATGAAACCACAACAGCCAACAGGGACACTGTTCAGTGACACTGTAGCTCTTATTGTCTCAGAGTGAGGCTGAGCATCAAAACCAGGTACCTGTGTAAAAAATGATACCATCACCTTTCTTTGGGGGGTTAGGATGCTCTCACAAATGATTATAAAGTGGACAGTTGTTTGGGGAAAAAAAATTTCACTCTGCCCCCTGTACCCAAGACCTCGATAAATCACAGCGATGCCAGTGGTTTAACTCTACCCCCCCTCCATGAAGTGTTATTCCTCTTGTGACCTACCCTGTATTTGTTCCATGTGCCTTCACCCGTTGCCTCAGGCCATCTGTTACCCATTGTGTCTGCTTCGCACTGTTCATTGGTCACCTAAACCCACCAAAAGAAAGAAAGAATCAACTCTACATGTTCCATGGGTCTCTTTAACCCACTCTCGCTGAAAACAATCTTTCAGAAATGGTGTCTCAGTTTCTGAATGGCATCCACATAAGAAGTTGATCTGAAAAAGATTAGACAGCTTTTACATAGAAACATTAATTTCAAAGTCCTTCACTCAAAGACTAACCTTTTCATCACGTGAGTGACTTCCACAGATTTCCTCGCAAATGTAAAGGACAAGAGCTTTCTTTCTGACAAGAGTTTAATAATCTAGACTTTTGTCAGGCTACATGTAGTAACTGCACCATGCTGGCAAATGTCCGTTTTCATCAACACTTCCTCATGACTCACCGACACGTGGAAGATGGTGTCGTCCGTGGCCAGGGAGTAGGTGAACTCAACGTAGCCCTCTTTCATCAGGTTGGCAGCAAAGATGAGCTTGGAGATGCAGTTGTCACCCGGTGAGCGGATGTGGGTTCCCTTCACCTCCCACACCGAGCTGATGTCACACGTAAAGTGGAGATTTCAATTCATGGCAAAAGTACCGGGGTTGTCATATAAGCAATGTGTGAGAAGTCCTTTATCAAAGACCATCACGTCAGTAAAGAAAATTGCAGGAAACGGTGTAGATTGCACAGGGAGTGTTGGATTTTGATGGAGATGGTCCATTGCCTTGTAAAAGACACTATGGAATTAGGGTTATTGCACCAATTTGTGAAGAGCTCTAACTTAAAGTCTTGCTCTCAAAAAATTATTTAATTAGCCATTACAATTGCATATATTGGCTTTAAACATTGATCATAGAATACCTTTTATGTTGGTGATGTTTTATTATGCATGATTTCATATTTCCAATTTATGCAAAAAATATAAACGTACAGTTTACCCGTAACAAAAAGGGCACATCAACATATTGCATCACTCCTTCAAATAACAACAAAAATTGCAGCAATTTACTGTCTCAAGAAGTCTTATAAAGGAGCTGAGCAATGGAACCAGGAAAGGTCTTGAAAATTGCCCTTTCATTTTTATTGAATGAACTTGGCTAAACTGTTCTGTAACCATGCATACACATTCTTCCAACACTCTTAAACTCATGTCCATGTACATGAGACTCAAGGGCACTTTGTAACACTCGTAGCATCTTCAGGTGCCAATTCTGCCTCATTTTCAAGGGATGTCAGGCACATTTTACATGTATACAAGCCACTGCATGTGTTGAGGCAAGTGGGTGATTTAGGGCCCTAGACCCTACATGTACATGTATTCACGGAAGAGCCATTATTGCCCACATTTATTGAACCTATTGTATTTGGATGTACTACTAGCCTTTCACATGAATGGTGCCAGACTATTTTGGGCTCCATGCTTCAATTTCATTTTTAAATGTTTCCTATCATATAGTAAACCACAAATATTCAATAATGCATCGCCGTAAATGAACAGATTCCCAAAGCAAACAAGTTGACCTCGCTTTCAATTCAATATGGCCGCCTTGTGAATACTGTCAATTCAACTACCGGTACCTTCCAACACTTTCAGCATACTGAACCACACATCTACATGTGTTTTTCCTGTCAACTCCCGCATGGAGCATAGCCAGGAGAAAAAGGGAAAAAAATACTAAAAACTACAAACTGAACATGAAAATAATACATGAAATCCCTAGAAGGATAAAAGTTAACCATAACCATCCCGAATCCTTCAAAATCCTCCGGGCAGTTTTGGAGGATTTTGGAGGATTGAGGCTGTATCCGATTTTTTCGTGAGGGCAGTTGGAGGATATTGAAGGATTGACAGTGTATCCTCGGAAACCGGCCTAGGCAGTTAGGGTTAATGCATCCTAGAAACAGACGGAGGCTCTTACTTGTTGCAAGATTTGTAATCGTCATCCTCCTCCATAGAATGACTCCGGTAGTCATCTTCCCCACCGGTGATGGTGAAACTGTCAGGGAGGGTAGTCCAGTCCTCAAAGACCTTACCCCCACCCAGTGAGAAGCTCCCTGGCTTGCACTTCAGACACTGCTGGGTGTCGTTCCTGTCTAGGTACTCACCGGGGCCACAGGAGAAATCTGGAGGAGGAGAAAAGGTACATGTAGAAATACAACGGGGGAAAAATAACAGTTCAGTTGATTGTTTTGAATATGAAACAGTGTTGCTTTGAAAGGTTTCATCCAGAGCAAGGTGCCAAACATTTTGAGGTGATCCATTACGTGCAAGTCTATAAAAACTTTATTCTGAATAATTCTACAATGTTCTCACAAAAATCTCACATGTAACGGATCACACGTTGTGCACCCTCTAAAGACTCAATAATTACACCAGCGAGCTTGCTTGGAATCTAGGTGGAATGGTTTAATAATTTCTTTATTTTCTCCTTGAGCTTTCCTTCTGAACCAACCAGCAATTGCAAAATGGCTTATTGTATCATGCGATAGTTGTACACGTGCGCACTACATGCAAATTCAACTGTGGAGTGATCAAGCATGCTAATTACGTATGCAATGCAGTGATGCCCCTCCCCTGCACTACTACTGGTACCCAATGGGAAGCCATCAGTCTTTGGATTAATATTTACATGCACATGTACACAGTCTAATTTACATAAAACGGCTACATCCTCATTGAAGCAAGATTCACATAACCTTAGTGCGAGAATGAAAAAAAGTTGCGCAAACTAATGCAATCACGGCTTGATCACTGACGTCTGACGCAAAGACTGCATCTACCGACACTCTTGACACATGGTCAATTCATCGTCAATGACACTTCTAAAACCTAGACCAATCTGGTGACCATGGTAAAGCCATCGCTGGCCACATGGCTCCAAAGGACTGTGAAAGCTATTGCTATGTAGCCCCTGTTAGGCAAAACTCGTTCTGCACAAAACACAATATGTTTGCCGTCATCAAAGGGGAACATTGGGAATTTGCGGTGTACATTCATTCTTGTACATGTACATACATCTACAGTAGATTCATGTACATGTATACTTACAATGTACATGTACACTTATAGAGCATGTAAGTGAACATACATGTACATGTACAATCAGTGGCACAGTCATGATGGGTGGGGGGGGACACATACATGTACCTCCCCCATAAAAAAGTCATCCCCCAAGTTGTTCCCCAACTGGGAATATGAACAAACAAAGAAACTCTACTGAAGAAACAGAAATTTGTCATCCTTCCCTCCATTCATGCCTTTTGGATTTGGCTGGCAAGTATTATCGGTATTGTTACTGTTTTTAATGTTTTGTCTATTTTATAGGTGTATATTTTAGTTGTGGTTTTATATGTGTCTGTTCTACATGTATCTCTTTTGCCTAGGATGCAACAACATTCTCTTCTTGTTTTGCATAGTTTTATTTTGTTTTTAGTTTTCAGGAAATTAGCTCTTTTAGTTCTTAGTATATGTACAGCCTTTCTTATTTTATCTTTAATCGTTTATCATTTTATCCGGGAGTGATTTTAGAAGGACCTTGAGGTCTTGTTGACGACCCTTGACATGGTCAAATATTAATAATAATAAAAATAATTATAGTAATATTACTCGGTCACGCTTTTCCATTCAACTATTCACCAAAAACTGCCTTGTGAAACCATACGCTCTCTTTCAGCATGTTCAGGAGGTACGATTGACCACAATGCAAGAAATCACAGACATTCTCTAGCAGAAAATATGGGCTGAAAATACAACAGATTGTAACTGAAACTTTTGGCATCAGTTGCAAAGATGATCAAGCAAAACTCAAAACAGACGGCCATTCACTTCTTTATTACTGATTAAATCTTGCACAAAAATTAGCGTAGAGAATCAGTCATCAGATTAATCGAACCTACAGTCAAAATAAAATAAAAAGATAAAACACATGTACATTGTAACTGTAACATCTACAGGTACAATATGTACATGTACTTGTCCCGTCTTTCCCAACAGTGAGAATCCTGACTACACCACTGCAAACAATGGTAATGTATAGGTAAACTGTATTAACCTTAACCCCCTAGCATGCCTAGGGTGTATGTAAAATCGTATTAAACATTTTAAAATTGGAGGATTTGGGAGTGTCAGGGTTAAGCAACGGTGAAAATCTCTTTGGAGAATTTACCAGTCAACATTTCAATTATTTTATTGGTAACCCTGCTCGATGGATTGAAAGCCCCCTAAAAAGAATTAAAAATCAGGCAACTGGTTGACTTTTTCAAAATTAAAAAGTTGTTCTGTACACAAAAAATGCTCTAAGATATTTTCATGAAATTATTCGAGGGGAAGACTTTTTTTTTAAATTGCCTTTTTGTTTTTTTAGAATAATCTTACTAGAATGTCATAAGCTAACCTGATCAGAATTATATTAACCATGTTTCACATGGACGGCCCACACAATTTGGGAATACAGGTACCCGTACACGTACAATGTATGGACTATAATGTTCAATAACAGTACCGTATATGTACCAATTCTTGGGAAATGTTTCCATTCATGTACATATACATGTACATGTACATGTATGTACATGTACAGGTGTACATTGTAGATGTACAAAACAGTATAAACATTTTTGCAAGCACACCATCCATTTATGTATGTACATGAATACATGCAGTTCTGAGTGAAAAATTGCATTTCCCTTGGAGAAATTCCTGTTTGTGTAACAGAAAGTGAACCAATGACCCACAGGATCGTTGCAAAATGGTGTGATCACAGAGACAAGAAATGATCAGATCAGTTCTGATCCCAGGTGAATAAATTTTCATATTAAACCAAGAGAGCATGACGACCCAACAGTCTGAGTGGTACCTAGCATGTGTACACAACCTGCCAACATGTAACATGTGCTGTGATGAGTCACCCCATGAAGCCATCTGGAACACACACGCTAATAATGAATATCTTTACGGGGAAAAACAATCTCGTAATTAGATGGAAATAGGACTCAGTCGTGGAAATTTTTATCTTACTACAGTGGTCCATGTACGTATTATTGACGTACAGGCAAAATGTAGACATGCATGTACATATACATATATACTGATCAGAGTACCAGTACATATATGTACATATGTATGTTACATGTACTTGTCTGTTTATACTGTACATGTACTTGTTTAGGTTCGACATGAAAAAACAACCAACCAACATTGCATTGATACTTCACTCTAAACATGAACATTCAGGTACGATTGTGTTACATGTACTAGCAACTATTAAACTTTACTAAAGCCTGAATGACACACCGGTACCGGTATATATATGTACATGTACAGTAAACAAAGAGTGTATTTGTCCTGCCTGTCAGAAACGCAGTTGCTTACAAAATACAGGTAAAGCAAAAACATTGGTGATGACATGGTGATGACATGGTGATGATAAGTCAGGGGTATTAACATATATGGGCACAGCCACCTTTCCCAATGCCCACACTGACTATGTTTCGGAGGTCACAACCAAACTAATTAAGTTTTGTCTAACTTCAACATTATACAAATGTAGGCCCTGTATCTCAAACTGGCAACAATGAATTCCTTATTGCATCGGTAAAAATGTATTTCAGAACGTATAAATGATGTCTGTAAATTTTTTTTCTGCACAGCCAATCAAATTATTCCAATGTTTAAGCAAAGCACCTTGTGTCTTGGAAACACCCACAATCCTTTACGGGCTGCTGAACATGCCTCGTGATTGGTCAGATTGCACAAGGTTTTTGATGTACCGGTACGTGTAGACATGGAGCCTAGGGTATTACCCCGGACGGATGATGTGCATGCATGACTGTCTCCTAATCCATGGATGCAGTACCAGGGCTGCATTATTATACATGTACTTGAAGGAAACAACCATCTGGTTAGATTTTTCCCTGCTTTTTCATTAAGGAAGGACCAAACAAATACTGTTCCACGGAACAGTACACCACTGGTACATACTCGTGTAATGTATGTACAGGTAGAAACCCATTAAATTACGGTGTTTCAGACCAGCCTGCCTGCCTCATTTTCCAGCTACAATATTCAAATGGTTCACACTGCACACCTCCCTCCTCCCACACAAAGAGGACCTCACAATGCACAAGTCCTGGCACTGGTACATGTAGGCCTATACACGTACATGTGCCAGTTTAACACATGTACATGTACACGGCTTTTGTTGATGATTTCCTATTTTGTTCTTGGAAATTTACATGCATGTACAGTATGTTCAAGAGTACTTGGCAATAATTTAGCCATACATGGCTTAAGACTGAAACTGATAACCGTGAATAAAATTTGCATAGATAATTTGTAGAAACTACAGTGTGTACATGTTACTGTGCGTGAAAGCTTTTATTTTTCTCATTCTTCCGTAAGGAAATAACAGCTACTCAAACAAGTGTACATGTATGATGGAACACAACGTGAGGTTTTGCATGTGAACAGATGTCTGCGCTGCACACACATGTACAATATACATGTGAACAGTGTGCGTAGTCTAGTATTTACATGTACCTCCAATGGCATTTCATTTTGTACATTGGTGTACAAGGTATACATGTACATCATTGGAGGACCTTTTATGCACAACTGTTTTATGAATGACCTTTTATGCACGACCCAATATGAAAAGAGAAGCATCTAAGAATGGATGCAAGATATGCATTTCACACTGATACCGGTAAATCACAGAAAAATGTACATGTACCTCATGTTTATGGGTTCACTATAAATATGTACATGTACATACTGTGCATGCACAGTAGCAGATAGCATGACACAAGGCTACATGAACGCATGTACAAGTGAACCTCAAGTTCATGGGCTCACTATAAATATGTGTATGTACATACATGTACATGTAGCAGATAAGAGTGACACAAGGCTACACTGTATATGAACTCATAACAGGTACATGTACATACATGTATACAGGTGTGCATGCATTTTTGTAAAACTCACCGTACAAACTATATGTAACGTACATGTACAGCTACATGTACATTACCAGTGCATAAAATTACACATGACTAATTTTTGCTTTCAGTTCACATGTACCAGTAAATTTATTTCTGGATTGAAACGAATAACATGTATGACAAATTTTGACTTCCTTGCTCCTTTACCAGGCCTTCAGAAAAACGTTCTTTCTACTGTTATAATTGAGGCAGTACTATCGTTAGCTGGCTATACGAGTAAGCTAGACATCTGACCTGTGCATTACTAAGGAAATAAAAATGTGCGTGGCCAGCCTTAAATATGCTTTCAAGACTGGCTCAGAACAATGGACATGCCTGAGCCGCAGGTGAGGGCATTATCAGCTTTTGTTCTCTTGAGCAAGGTCTTAAAACGTTAGTTTAAGACTGGCCAAGCACATACATGTATTTATTCCCATTCATAAATTATACCTTTTATTCAGCGTGCCAAAAGAAGTCAACATGTGTTCATTTCCGATGGTTTTGTTCCAAAACTTTACTTCCATTTTCTCGAACACCCCTGTCCATTTTATGGTATGTTCCCTCTGAATATTTGTCCAATAGAATCCCCTTTAGTGAGTGTGATGCCGTGGCGCGTCACGTGCGTGCAGATTCCTGACCAATCAGACCCGATTAAACTGTCTTGTATCCAGGTGCCAGTACATGATTTATGCAGCGGACATTATCATTTCTCAGTGGGCATTATCAAATGTTAATATATGGTCATGTGACGCGTTTCAACCAATATGAATAGAAAAACTGTCCCCGGTATTTATATATGCACAGCTTTGTTTTTCAAAGTTGGTGTTCACAAAGGGAACAGCACAGAACGATACGTGCCCATAACTGTGGCTGAGGATGTATTTATCCAGTACAAAGCATCTGAACAGTACAACACTTTTACTGAACGTAAAAAATTTGCTAGAAACAAAAGAAATATATCTAAGACTGATTACAATGATTGATTGAATTAAGATCAAAGTGCTTTCCATTGTTATTACCCCTGCTCACTGGGCCCATGAAACTGTCCAAATACTATCTCAACTCCCTGGGAGGATGCAGCTGGATGCAGCCATTTCGACACAAAGCAGCTGACACAACCACAATCACCATCTCCGCCCTCATGGGTACCCAATTACTCCTGGGTGGGGAGAAGCAATGCGCGACAAAGTGTCTTGCCCAAGGGTACACCCATCATGACCCCAGGCTGGATTCGAACCTGCAACCTGAGGCTTTACCTACCGACTGCCAATTCAATGCCCTTAACCCCAAGGCCACGGCACTCCGAGTTGGAACATTGGCCATGAATCTTCATATATAGACACATTTGTGTGGCAGGCCACCACACACTGGAATGGCTGTGAGTGGGGAACTGGTGCATCAGCAACTGAAAATCCCATGTGCGGATTGTTTGCTAAATGCTTTGCGTGGACCCATCACATTTGTCACAGAGGTGACGTACACACTTCTACCGGTACATGTACGATATGTACCTGGTCCACGCGGTAATAAGAGAGTGTCAAGTTCACGTGTGGCACAGAACGCAATGAGCGCATGTGGCTAATTTCTGCTTGAAGGCACAATCTTTGCGTGTGCGCCAGGCGAGGTGAGTGCAGGAGCCCGCTTGAGACACCTACATGTACCCGTACGTCCAGCGTGTTCTTGCCAGTGCGGGTGTACTTCACACTCAAGGCAAACACTACACTTTCCCTGTCCCAAAGAAGTTAGAAAACCTGCTTTCTCTCCCCAAAACAGAGAAATCCCACTGAAAGTACTTACTGCAATCCACTGCACGTGTGGGTGGCTCTGGTGCTCCGCCCACACACACATTAGGCTGAGGGACAGAAACACGCCACCTCACTCCATTTTTATCACATTCTGTGTACACATAGTGGAACTGGTCCTGTAAAAAACAAAATACATGTGGCACGGTTAAAAAAACAATTAAAAACATTCCATGCATTTTACAGCCAACAAGGAGTGTGAGATCAACTTAATTTCAAACAACTCTAATCCAATCTAGATTTTTTTTAAATTGGATCAAGAGATACATGTATGTACAACGCTACACAAATAAGAAAAAGGTTTTTTTATTTTGGATGTGACAAATCTTGAAATGCAAACTTTGCCTTATGAAATGTCTGCAGTTTTACGAGTAACGGACTCTACACGTACACGGTAAATCCCAACTTGTTCAATCATACACAACCAACCAGGTAGGCCTACACGGTACACACAAATAACGGGAAAAGGTTTTAACTGCTGCAAACATACATGTAACTGAAGATATGCATGTGTACACTTGTACTAGTACATGTACTGTAAATATACAAATTTGCACAAGCAAAGATGGTAAATCATGTCATGACGGTAAAGAAAAAACATTTTTTTAGAGTTTCTTGAGGTCTTCCATTCGAAATCTCACTGCAGAAGCCTGTTCATGCATACAAACAACCAATGACGAATATATTTGGTGGTTGTATTTCAATTGGTCTGTTGTACTAGTACATTGTGTACGTAATTTTTTTTGAAGTATATCAATTCCATTCCATTCATATTCCAATGTATGTGTTCACATACTCAAGATTTCTGACCCTTAACCCAAACAGTTCCAAATCCTCCAATTGCTATACAATTTTACATACACCCTTGGGGGTTAGGGTTAATCTTCACAGAATCTGAAGGAAAAAAGAAAGTGAGCAATTGAAAACACAGTTTATTATAAACTCTCAAGCTTTAAAAGAACCAAAAAAAATGTTAAGACATACATAAAAATATTTAGGAAACAATTGTTTAATTTTCACTTACCAGAACTTCGCCCTGAGTGTATTTTCATAAGAATGCGACTCTTACTTTTTTTTTATAGTAGGCGTTATGATTATTAACTGACTACTCTGCACTTGCATTTTTCAACAAAAATTCATGACAATGTGTTGTCTTTATACCCCCAGAACTGTGGGGTCTGATGTCTGCCCCGCTCCCACGACGTCGGACCCAACAGTTCTGGGGGTATTGTCTTTACAGTCCTAGCAGACTTCTGTATTCAGGCTACTCGATTATCTTTCAAAATCACAACTTTGTGTATATATGTACCACGACATTTGAAGATAAGTTTAATAAATTGTTAATCTACTTTTCTCCAAGGCCTAGGGCCTAACTATTAGTGTATTTTGACCATTCCAACAAAGAAAACCCAGCATTGTCCAAGGCTTATTCACCACTCACCAGGCTGACAATCCCCCTAAAAATACCAAATTATCAGACGGAGCGATCCCCAAGTTGAAATTACGTCCAGTTAAAAGACTTCATAACTCATTTAACAAAGATCTCATTTACCATAGTGCATGTGGGCAGTAACTGCTTTCCTCTCTTCTCTTCTTCAACAGCGTGAACAAAGTGATGCAAGCAGCAGACCACTAGGCAGACAATCCCAAGTAAAGTGCGATGAGAAAATGGCCTCCAACAGCTGTTCGTGCTCCCAACGATCTGTGCCATGTTTTCGGGTCTTTAAAAAGCGAACAACGACGCCACTCCTATGCAATGTGCGAGAATTTCGCCAATCGGTGGACTGGCGAGATTCGATAATATATTAGGGAACCCTTTTTGCATGTAATCAGGGTTTTTGTGACTCGACAACTTCAATCGTCCGGCACACAATTCACATTGTATTTTAATAAAATCAGCCTCGACCCCAGGAACAGAATATTTACATTATAAAGACGTCTGCTCACACTCGCACTCAGCACGCACACACGCACCCAGTTGTGGGTATACATATACATACGTTCAGCTGTGTGACATGGAACATGGCTGTATTGCCATAAATCCATGTATATTATGCAAGCCGCAGCCAAGTAACTCAGAAAAGGTCTGCGGATCAGACTACCACTTTGTATTGGTTTTACAGCCTTTATGCCGAATTAATACTTGTCCGCAGCCAGCAAAAACACACAAATGGGAAGTAGCCGCAGCCGCCGGGAGAAAATGGCTTCATTAACTGAAGATCCCCGACTGCGCACCGAGGGACAGGTTCCAGGCCAACAAATAAACTGCCGTAGCCGACAGCAAAAACACCAGAACTTCAAAACGTCTTGAAAAATATTCACGAGTTCCTCGGGCGTTCGAGACGCACATGGAATGAAAGCCCATTTTGTGGTTTTTCGGCTTCTTGTCAAACTTGCATTCACCAAGGGGCGACTTTCTTAGATATTTTCTCCAGGGAAGGTCACCCCCCAAAAAGCAGTCATGAAGTTTTGTTTGATGTACAATTTGATGACAAATCACAAAAATGTAAGGACACAAACGTGGATGTAATGATACGCTACAGCGCCTTAAACACCACACGCCACCCCCCGCGCCTACCACGTTACATTTAATTTCGATCTGACTGAAAACTAATGTCATTTTATGTGGTTAATCCGTGCCTGATTGGCCATAAGTTTGATACCAGTACTCAAGTTACAAAAATGGCACTGAAAAAAGTCTCCTTTT